ATTGCTTCTAAGATAACTCAATAACTATGTATCTGTTTTACATGATTTATAGCTCGTTCGAATGATCTCATCGAGCTAAATCTAATGGTCTAATTTAAAACTAACTTTAACTATTAAGTTTATCGAGAAATCGATAAATACATTCAAGAAATTGACTAAATAAATTAAATAACAAACTCATTTTATAATACTACTTTTATTATTATATTTAATAAACAAAATCTTTATATATAATCTAATTACAAAATTTCTTTAATAGCAACTCTACTTTACAATAACTTAAAAAATCTAGATTATATTATATGCAAAGTAAATATTTACCTAATAATAATTCTTTAATTCCAATACTATATAACAAGAATATTACTACAATTAATACTATAATTAATATATGTAATGATTTTGAAATTGATCTAATACTAGAATCTTATCTATTTCTGCAAACCTAGATATTTTAGGCTTAGACTTCATAAAAAACACTATATTATGCTTAAAACCTTGAAAACTTAAAATATAAATATAAAGTAAATTTTAATCATCAAATTTAATTGGCTAAAAGATATTATATTTTAATTTAAATAACTTTTATAAGTAGGCTTTGAAATGACCAATTTGGGCCATTTCAAGTTATTTACTATCCCATGCTAAATATCTACTATATAGCTAAAATTCTTATTTAACTTTGTTAAAAAGGTATTAAGCAAGCTAAATGCCTATTCAAAAAGGGTCTTATTCAAGAGTATACTTTGGAATTGAATAGTACGGTAACTATTTGTCATGGCAAAAGACTCCATATGTTGATTTTTATCATTTTGGCTAGTGTTAATACGTTTCTTTACTTGCATAATCTTTGTTGATAAGCTAAAATCTTTTCCCAATTAATATGCTATTGAATGCGGATTAATTGTACAGCCATATTGAAAACGAGTCTGACACAGTTCACAAGCAAGACTTTAAAGATCGGATCAAGTTGTTTTCTTTAAGGTAATTAATTTTTTTGGCAATTTTCTGCGTTTCCGTTCCATGGTGATGTGCACTTTGAAAATTTACGCAGCTTTCTAATGTCTGAATTCTGAAATGCAACTTTATTTTTTGAAACTAATGGTGCAACAAATTTGCCAAATAAAGTAATTGTGTCTCGGATTGTACAATCAAAATTTTCACAATTTTTTGTCAATGCACAAAACCGTTTTCTTTGCCTTAACGAAACAAAATTTTGTAAAGATTAAATGTATGAAAAGTCATAATGGAAGATAATAGCCTGACAGGGCACAAATCATACAAAAAAGAGGGAAAAACGATCCTTCTTCCAAAAACAGATCAAACTCGAAAACTTATAACTCGAATATTGACGAAACTAAAAAAAAGAAGAAAACCCCCTTCAGCGTTTAGTTCTTATATTACTAAATCAGATAATTCGTTTAATGCCGATGAATCTTGTGATTTATTGAATCAACTAAAAGACGTTTTATTAGTTTGTGAATTGCAAGGAATAAATTTTGCACATAAGTGGGTGGATTTTTTTTAGCATGAATTATATATTTAACAGCTGTTTGATGAACACCTTGAATTCTTAATTATTATTTAAGATCTCCTTATGCGTCACGAGATCCTTCTCCAAATCGTTCACGTACACCATATCCTTCCAATCAAAAAAAAAGTCCTGGGATTCTTGAAATTATTTTGGAAATTTTGCATGACATGGTCCAAAATGATTGTCGATATAAGGTCATGAATCCAAGACTTGCTCGCCCACCTAATGCTTTACAGGCAATTATACTGGATGTTGCACATCTTTTGATCAATCAAAATCCACATTCATCTGGTTGGTTATACGAACTGGGTATGACATTAATCCCTGGATTCAATTGCTTCAGTGACGCCTTACGTTCGAGGCTATTAAAATTTTATAGCGATTTTTTGATTCCTCAATTAATCTCTTTACAAAGCGGTCACATTAATACTGCTGTATCAAAACTTTTATCTAATAATGTTAACTCCACCGTTAATTATTTGACTGGTAGGAAATGTTTTTAAATTATGATATGTGAATTAGTGTTGTGAGCTAAATTACTTTTCAAAATCCGAAATAATTCGCCAGAGTAAAATAATTTCGCCAGGACGAAACATTTGAACATTTCAGTTTAGCCCGCAACAACATATAAGTAGTTGTTGCGCTCTAAATCATTTTTCAAAATCCGAAATATTTCGTTAATGGCGAATATTCCGGTTTAGCCCGAAACACTAATGTAAATATATATTTGCGTATTAAATTAATCTTTATGTATATCTTAGAGAATGAGAATTCTTCACATATAAACATCACCATAAATGCTGATGAGACATCACATGTACCGATCGATGTTGACAAATTAAATATTGAAAATTTATCAAAGACAAACCTGGACTTTTCCGATAACGATCACGGCGTAAAATATAGGCCGACCCTTAAACGATTGTCTATTTCATATTCTGGTGATTTATTTGTCGATGCTTATTATACTGATTCACTTTTCACACCACTTTTATTTTCGATCTTTCAATTTATTACTATTGAGGAGTCTTCTCTAGAAACATTGTATCAAATGCACCGTACTTTTGGAATAATGATTCATCATAAACCAGGTTTATATTATGATATAATGGAAATAATAGCTTATGGTGACGTAAAAAGTCGCAGACTTGCTTTGAATATTTTATTTTATTTTTGGTGTAATAGTACTGGACATCCTTCTGTTGGTAAAGTTTTACCAAGTGTTGGGTATACGGAGGATTTACGTTTAAAAGAAAATATCATGAATCAGGGTATTTTAGGAAAGACAAGTATAAATCAAAATGAACCTTCAAATAATGGTGAAGATAATATCCATCTCCACCAACTCTTTCCACATCTATTTCTCAATGATTTGGATATGTACGCCGGAAAAGATGATACAAATCATCCTAACACATGTGTACAATGTTTAAAACCTGTATTTGAGTTTGGTTTACGCTGTTGGGGTTGCAAGTTAAATATTCACTTTAGATGTTATAATTTGTCCTATGGTGGATTCCAGGCAGAGTATCCTTTGGATTCTGGAATTCATAAATTGGCTACCCCTAGATATTGCGATATCGTTCATAGCACTAGAGAATGTATCTTTAAGGGATGCTTTCATGGCAATATTACAGATGCTCCAATTATCTCAGAAAACATTGCCGACCATAAATTCCATCTTATCAACCTTTTTACCTTAGCATTGTGTATGGTTTGTCATTTGCCTTTATGGGGTGTGACACATCAAGGATATAGATGCGAATTATGTAATCGGTTTGTTCATTTAAATTGTATGAACTCTAAACATTTAGAGACAAAGGCTCGTTGCAAAATATCTGCTATGTCTGAAAGTGATGTGCTTATTGATCATGAGGATTTGTGTCAAGATTTCTGTAAATATTTTGATCTCATATTGATTCCAGAACATTCGATACCGATACATACTTACGAAGAGTTATCCATGATGCTCACAATTCTGCAGATACAAGATAATATTATGCAGAATGGCATATTGGCCGGCTGTCTTGTAATCAAGCGAAATAGCTATAATCCTCTATCTTCAACATCAGAAAATTTTGAGAAATTTGAGCTACAAGAAACCATCGATCTATACAAATCATATTTAGAAAATGGCAAATTGTCTTTATGTTCATTATCAGCCGAATATTGGAATTCTATTAAAAAGAATCATTATTCATGGATGATGTCATGTGAATACTACCTTGCTCATATAGCTTCGGCAATAAAGTCACCAAATTATTTTCAACCTTCAGAACAAGGTTACGTTGAACGACACTTGAGTGTATATAGTGCAGATGCAAATATTGCTTCGCCAGAGGATACTTCAAATATTCCAGATAGAGTCTTAACTACACATGAGTTAATTAAATGGGTTCAGGAAAATGCTGGATTTCGTAGTAGCTTTTCAACAAAAGTATTTTTACAACAACTTGTTAATGTTGGATTTATTGAAAGGATTGACGGACGTCCGATATTATTTTGTGATAATGATGATCCCGAAAAAAATATAGTCGAATGTTCACTTCCTCTACCGTTCGCGGCTGAATACTCTTCAACGGTCGAAATTCTTTTAACGGCAATTTCTTCATGCTTATCAGATGTAAATATATCGATTAACGAATGTGGGTTTCTTTTCATGGTACGACGTTGTTGGCCTGGTCCTTTCATGTCCAAATATGTTCTAGAACGATTGATTTATTCAATTATTGAATGGATGTGTGACGAAGATGAGAGATTATTGATAATTGGGAAGGAATACACTACTGCACGACGAAAGTTACCAGGAGTTCGTGATGAAATGGAAGATAATCGGCAGCAAGGGTCACACTTGCAATATCCTACTGGTGGTGGTGCTTACGTGATAAGTCGTAGAATGTTAAAAGAAAAATACATTTTACGATGGTTATCTGCAGTTCACGAATTGAATGAAGAATTATTTTGTGATATTATTTATAGTCAGACAAAAATGGTTTATGAAAATCAAAATCAACAGGAGGAGATTGATACAAATGTATGTTCATATTTCAATAATTGATAATATTAAACTGAATAATTAATATATATTATACTTTACCGGTATATCTATATTTAGGAAACCGATTTTCAATTTCATGATCGCATTCTCAAATGTATAATTAGACTTTGGAATGAAGGCCTGCTTTTTACTTCCTTTGACGAAATAGTTTCCCGATGGTTAGACGAAGTTTATCAGATAATGAAAAATCAGTCACAGGTAATTTTGTTAGTAATTTTTTTTAATATTTGAATGGAAAGAAAGTATCTTTTACACATTTAAATAATCATAATTGTTATTTAAATTAAGAAATTCATAGAATTACGGACTTTGAATAAAGTTTTTGGTCCAGTAAAGTCCACTTCTAAACGAAATAATCAAGTGGATCAAAATATGGCCTCTGAAAGTAGTAATGTTAGCATTGACCCTATAGACATAATTACTAAATTATTTATTAAAAATAATGATGCCCAATTTTCAAGAGCCTTGAAATGGATGGAATTGATGGTGCGTGCTGGGTAAGTATAAATTTCCAAGATTTTATGTGCACTTATAAACTTACTAATCTTATTGATACTTTAGAGTTGGTCTTCCTGGCACAATATTTTCGGATTATCTTTCGATGTTATCGCCAACACTTGATCTGTACACAACTTTCTTGCAAATTATTTGGTACCAGGTTATGACTGGTCTAGGAAATATTATTCAACGAGGTACTATTCTTAAAATTATATCCGATGTCAATGAAGCAGCCTTTGACAAGATAAGAAAAATTGGTAAAAAAGGACCCATCACAGAAATTGCAAGGTTAAAAATTGGACTTATTGTTTTTTAAAAAATCACTTTTTATACAATTAATTCAATGCTTGACACTATAATAGAAAATGAACCAGAAATGTTTGAAAGCTTTTTTCCTAGTGTAAATCTAGACGAACTCCTAGAAACAGAAGA